TGGAAACGAGCTGATCAGACCATAAACAGGCTACAACTAATTACGGACCTTAATACAACCCCCTCGTGGTGTGCCACAAACCACACGTACACCTGCTACAAAGCACGCTAACACCTGTCCCAACCACATGACACTGCCCATACTGATCGATGACATTTCACGTACATAGATATACACTCGACCACGGACATCCAACAAACTCGTACCTACAACGCGAATAAGAGACGACATTTAACTGCACTGGAAGAGATCCCCAGCGAGCTCAACCACAACGGCAGATAATTCGGCTCCTACTTTGGGTCCACAGACCCAACCAGGGTGACAACTCGCCTTCTTGGGTGGAAAATACGCCCACCCAGGAGAGTCGCCCAAGGATACCCTCAGCAGTCTACACCCCTGCTGCATAGAGACAGTAACTGTAGACAGCACTCCTTCTTGTATATAGTTATATAGTTTATCCTTACTACCTCCCCAACACACCAATTCACCTCACCACCTACACTCAACTTCCACCCCCTAAATAGGACAGAACGGTGCAAGCCTCCTCCATACCTGGGGCTCCACATGGCTACCCTGCAAATCACCACACTTAACGTTAGAGGCTTGAATTCTCCCGAGAAGCGATCCCTGACACTCACTGAACTACACAAACTTAAAGCTGATATCACTTTCCTACAGGAGACTCATTTTAAAAAGAATAAAGCCCCCACTATCAGGGACTGTAGATATCCAACTGGATACTTTAGTAATTTCACAGACGCCAAAGCACGAGGTGTCGCAATTTTAATATCAGCCCGAGTACCCTTCGTGTACTCGTCTCACAAGACAGATGACTCTGGGAGACTGCTTCTGGTCAAAGGACAAATAGGGCAAACAAAGGTTACACTAGCGAACACATATCTACCCAACAAACACCAATGCCGAACACTACGTAAGCACCTCAAACTCATAGAACAATTCTCAGAAGGCATACTCCTCCTGGGCGGAGATTTCAATCTCTCCCTCGACTCAACATTAGACACGACTTCACAAATCAACCATTACCAAACTTCGGCTCGAAGACAATTCGCAACTTTAATGGACAAGACGCAGCTTTATGATTGCTGGCGTACCTCCCATCCCTCAGACAGGGACTATTCTTTTTTTTCTCCCCTGCCACGCACACTTACTCCAGATTGGACATGTTCTTCCTACCGCACAGACACCTCCACTTTTTTTCTCCCCTGCCACGCACACTTACTCCAGATTGGACATGTTCTTCCTACCGCACAGACACCTCCACTTTTTTTCTCCCCTGCCACGCACACTTACTCCAGATTGGACATGTTCTTCCTACCGCACAGACACCTCCACCTGGTACAATCCAGCAGCTATGGTGCAATCACGTGGTCGGACCACGCACCCCTGTCTCTTACCATACAAATCCCGGCACTCCCACAACGATCATTCCAATGGAAACTCAATGACCTGTGTAACGGACCGTTTTGCACACAAGGAGTAAAAACCGTTTAGGCGATCGGCCCCCTTTCCAGAGATCCAGGCACAGCTACTGCAGAACACCAAAACTCACGAACTGGATACAAAATAGCACTCCAACTCCCGAACTGGAACCTCCCAAATAGCTGCTAGCAGACGAACAGGAAAAGCAGACGAACAGCTTACACTCCTGGCAATCAGTCTCTAACAGCATACAGTGAATCCCCCCAAGAACGAGACAAGGCTCCGTGTTGAGGGTCAAGCAGTGGTCTGTTTAATGAGGGCTACCTGCCCAGCTTTTATGCAGGTCTCCCACCTGGTGGACACTCCCCTAGGGGACCAGATGGAAGACTGTGACAAGGGACAGACAAGTATACAAATAGGACACACAGTCACAGTATATTCCCACAATGCATCCTGGCTTCCTCCCCTCTGCCCTGGGAGATAATTGGGAAGTAACTCAATTATCTCCCAAGACAAAGGCAAAACTCCATTACACACGTGGGAACACAAAACAGCATTATACTTTAAAATGCACAAAGTAACATTTACTACATAAAACACCGACATGTAACACATCCCCAGATAGCTCAGGTCTGAGTGCACATTATTAAGTGAATGGCACTCAGCCTACACGAATACAGTTCAATCGCCATGGAGCCAAAGTCTTTACAGTCAGTTTCATACGAATGGGCTCCATGGGATTCCTATCTGGGGTATAAGAAATTCACACAAAAATACCGAACACCGGGTCATTCGTGTGCTTTCACCGAACAAGAAGGGAGGTCGGCGGCTTCAGCGGTGTTCGCGCAAAACTGTGTCCGATTTTAGTTCCATGAAAATAGAGGCGAACACCGCTGTTCATTCGTATGGTTTAAAATGGCCGCGACCTCGTGTTCGGGATACGAACGGCGGCCACCCAGCGTTCATCAATTAAGCTGCGGTTAACCGCAGCTTCAGGGAGGTTAATTGCCGGCACACTCCAGCTCCCAGGTGGTCCAGTCATTCGTACGGTTGTTCGGTAGATTGAAACTACCGAACAACCGGCAGAAAAGCACGAATACAGCTTTTCTGCCTGCAAAAATAAAGTCTTTTACAAAGGGGCCATAGTCCAAAGGCAGCAGGCGAGCAACCAGGCTTCTCCAATGCAATGTGGCGAGATTGGTCTCGTCACATCTCTCCCCTTTTCCAAACAGACTAACAGGGTATCTGACCTCCTGCCGGTCAGTGCCCTTGTTAGTCCAGCAGCCCACCCACAACAAATAATCGACAGCACAGCCCACCCACAATAAATGGTTACTACACCTGGGTAGAGAAGAAGCTTGTCCATGTCCAGGTGCCTCACCACGGCTGTGCTGGGTACGGGTACGCTGACTTGGTGGGTTGCTGCGTGGGCAGAGACCAGAGGCACTCTGCCCTGTTGCCAGCGCTACTGGGAGGGTAGCCTGGTGGAAGCCTGGTTGTTGGAGGGGGAGACCGACTGTCTCCCCTTTAAATACACCGCTCTGCTGCTGCTGCTGGAGACTGACTGTCTCCCCTTTAGATGCACAGTCCTGCTGCTGGAGACCGACCGTCTCCCCTTTAGATGCACAGTCCTGCTGCTGGAGACTGACTGTCTCCCCTTTAGATGCACAGTCCTGCTGCTGGAGACCGACCGTCTCCCCTTTGGTTACCCATCTCTGCTGCTGGAGGGGGAGACCGACTGTCTCCCCTTTGGCTAAACAGCCCTGTCGCTGGGGGGCAGGACCGACCGTCCCTACCCCCTGTGCTGGCAGTGTAGAGACTACGGTCCCATCTGCACGGTTGTGGGGCTTACTGTCTCCCCTTTGTACATTAAGCTGCAGCTGGGGAGAGGGGGTAACAAGCTCCTCTCCCATACAAACTTCCAGCTGTGGGGGAGGGAGACCGACTGTCTCTGCTCCCAATACAGAGTCCTGCTGCTGGGGAAAGGAGACTGGGCTCTCTATTCCCGGTAGGACACTCTGCCGCTGGGGAATGGAGACTGGGCTCCCAATTCCCAAAGCATCATACTGCCGCTGGGGAATGGAGCTCAGGCTCCCAATTCCCTTCAATATCTCCCGCTGGGGAATGGAGCTCGGGCTCCCAATTCCCTGCAATTCATTCTGCTGCTGGGGGGCAGGAACAACTACCTCTGCCCCCTGTAACTCAGCCTGCCGCTGGGGAATGGAGCTCAGGCTCCCAATTCCCTGCAATAACTCCCGCTGGGGAATGGAGCTCGGGCTCCCAATTCCCTGCAATTCATTCTGCTGCTGGGGGGCAGGAACAACTACCTCTGCCCCCTGTAACTCAGCCTGCCGCTGGGGAATGGAGCTCAGGCTCCCAATTCCCTGCAATATCTCCCGCTGGGGAATGGAGCTCGGGCTCCCAATTCCCTGCAATTCATTCTGCTGCTGGGGGACAGGAGCGACTATCTCTGTCCCCTGTAACTCAGCCTGCCGCTGGGGAATGGAGCTCAGGCTCCCAATTCCCTGCAATATCTCCTGCTGGGGAATGGAGACTGGGCTCCCAATTCCCAATAAATCACACGGCCGCTGGGGAATGGAGACTGGGCTCCCAATTCCCTGCAGGACCGGTGGAGAGACCTTGGTCCCATCTCTACCGGCCACCTGGGGTTCTTCCCAGAAAATATCCCCAATGTCTTCCCAGCTGAATGGGTCTGGTTCTGGCTCTGTCACGCTGCTCTCCTGCTGAGCCTTCTCGCTGTATTGAAACAGCTGCTGGTAGCCCTGTTCTAGCTCCATCTCCCGGGTTACCAGGTGGACCAGGTCTTGCTCAATTTTGTGAGCGTCGTCCCAGTCATACCTGCTCTCCCTCCACTCCCAGAGATCACTGAACCGGGCTTGTGTAGGGCTCCCAAATTCGAGCTCTGAAAGCGACTCCCATAACAAGCCAGGACCATCAAACTCCTCTCCCTCTGGCTTGTCATGCTCGGCTGTCCAGGGTAGGTACTGTGCCCCATACCACCAGAGCGCCTGGTAGGCATCTTCTAGCCACATCTCCTGCCATACTAGGTGTTCCAATTTCCTCACCCATTCTTCCAGGGGCTGCTCTCCCAGGAAGGGCATCCACAGGGCTACTCGCTTCTGCAACCGCTGGTCTTCCTTGGGGAATCTCTCGCCCCGCTGGTACTCCGCAATACCCAGTGCCTGGTACCAGATGCCTTTACGGACTGCATCTCGGTCATCCATGGCACCCTCATCATACTCCACTGCTGGTTCCATCTCGGTGCTGTCAGGGTCGCTGTACTGGGACATGCGTTGCCCTCAAATTGTAAAAATCCACGGAATGGTGTCGCCTGTAGCTGTCCTGTAGTCTGTGGGAACGATCCCACCGCTGCCACCAATTGTAACGGACCGTTTAGCATAAAAGGGGAAAAAACCACTTAGACGATAATCCCCCTTTTCAGAGACAGGCACAGCTACGGTATAATCACCAAAACTCACGAACCGCCAATAAGTGAATGCTCCAAACTCCCGAACGGCATACAAGGGAATAAGGTAGCACTTCAAATAAACGAACAGGAACCATACGAATAGCTGCTAGCAGGCGAACAGGAAAAGCTTCCAAGCGGCTTACACTCCTGGCAATCAGTCCTTAGCAGCATACAGTAAATCCCCGCAAAGACGAGACAAGGCTCCGTGTTGAGGGTCAAGCAGTGGTCTGTTTAATGAGGGCTACCTGCCCAGCTTTTATGCAGGTCTCCCACCTGGTGGACACTCCCCTAGGGGACCAGATGGAAGACTGTGACAAGGGACAGACAAGTATACAAATAGGACACACAGTCACAGTATATTCCCACAATGCATCCTGGCTTCCTCCCCTCTGCCCTGGGAGATAATTGGGAAGTAATTCAACTATCTCCCAAGACAAAGGCAAAACTCCATTACACACGTGGGAACACAAAACAGCATTATACTTTAAAATGCACAAAGTAACATTTACTACATAAAACACCGACATGTAACACATCCCCAGATAGCTCAGGTCTGAGTGCACATTATTAAGTGAATGGCACTCAGACTACACGAATACAGTTCAATCGCCATGGAGCCAAAGTCTTTACAGTCAGTTTCATACGAATGGGCTCCATGGGATTCCTATCTGGGGTATAAGAATTCACACAAAAATACCGAACACCGGGTCATTCGTGTGCTTTCACCGAACAAGAAGGGAGGTCGGCGGCTTCAGCGGTGTTCGCGCAAAACTGTGTCCGATTTTAGTTCCATAAAAATAGAGGCGAACACCGCTGTTCATTCGTATGGTTTTAAAATGGCCGCGACCTCGTGTTCGGGATACGAACGGCGGCCACCCAGCGTTCATCAATTAAGCTGCGGTTAACCGCAGCTTCAGGGAGGTTAATTGCCGGCACACTCCAGCTCCCAGGTGGTCCAGTCATTCGTACGTTGTTCGGTAGATTGAAACTACCGAACAACCGGCAGAAAAGCACGAATACAGCTTTTCTGCCTGCAAAAATAAAGTCTTTTACAAAGGGGCCATAGTCCAAAGGCAGCAGGCGAGCAACCAGGCTTCTCCAATGCAATGTGGCGAGATTGGTTTCGTCACAACCTGCTACTCAACACTCCCGACATCGTAGACGAGCTACGGAAATCCATCAAACTTTACTTCGCCGAAAATACTACTCCCTACGCATCCCCGTCCATAGTATGGGAAGCACACAAGTGTGTACTCAGAGGTGAATTGATAGCCAAGGCGTCAAGACTTAAAAAAATCAGAGAAGCCAGAATCCACTCCCTTACGACCGAAATCAGAGACCTCGAGAACCTACACAAATGTGATACCAGGCTAAATACATACACGACCCTCACGGCTAAACGCTCAGAGCTGGGAGACATACTCAACGCCAAAGTTAAACATACCCTCCTACACACCAAACACACCTATTACGCCCAAGGGGGGAAAAAGCGGTAGGCTGCTAGCAAATGCCTTAAAAAACCAACGCCAAATGACGTTCATATCCAAAATCAAAACCCCACGCGGAGACATATCCTATAAATTACCAGACATTTTATCGTCCTTCTAATCTTTCTATACAGAGCTATACAACCTCAGGGATTCTCCTCTATCTGAACACGAAGTAGAAACGTTTCTCGCTTCTAGAATTCACCAGACCATCCCCGCCAATGCACTCCAGACACTAGAAGCCCCAATCCCCCCGGAAGAAGCCCAACTAGTGTTCCGCAAACTCCCACTAGGGAAAAGCCCAGGCCCGGATGGCTTCACAGCTAAATATTATAAGACATTCATGAATGACCTGACGGAACCATTCCAAAAAGCCTTTAATTCGGTAGCACTCACTGCCTCCCTACCCGCCTCTGCCCTAGAAGCACACATTACCCTCATCCCTAAACCAGGAAAGGACCCGACTAATTGCGGAAGTTATCGTCCAATCTCCCTAATTAATATAGATCTAAAAATTTTCACCAAAATACTGGCCAACCGACTAAGACCACTGCTTAATATACTTATACACACCGACCAGGCCAGATTTGTCCCAAACAGAGAAGCCAAACATAATACCACCAAAATCCTTAACTTGATCTATCACGCACAACGCCTTCAGACAGACAGCCTTCTATTGTCCATCGACGCGGAAAAGGCGTTTGATAGAGTAGATTGGGTACTACTGCTAACGACCCTGAAAACAATGGGAATAGGACCTAAATGGATCCAGTGGCTACAAGTCATCTATTCGACCCCTATGGCGAAATTACGGATCAACGGACAATTGTCCGACCCTGTCCACATACGAAATGGTACGAGACAGGGGTGCCCCCTCTCTCCCCTAATATTCATTCTCACCCTAGAACCCTTTTTAAATGGCATCAGAGACAACCCAGATATACAGGGCATTATAATACAACAAACAGAATATAAAATCGCGGCATTCACTGATGATCTGCTTTTTACATTAGGATCCCCGGACACATCACTAGCGCCCCTCCTGGCCGAGATCTCACTCTATATTACAATGTCCAACTTCAAAGTAAATTTCTCTAAGAGCGAAATTCTACCAATCAGACTCAAACCCTCTATGCGAAAGCACTTGCAAAAACTGTACCAGTTCGTTTGGGCCGACAAGGCCATCACATACTTGGGAGTCCACCTACCAGCAGACCTGAAATCTACATTCAGCCTAAACTTTGAACCCCCATATCCAATCCCTCAATAAGGACCTTCACAACTGGCACAAACCACAATTTAATTGGCTCTGTAGAATTAACATCCTTAAGATGACAGTACTCCCCAAGATACTTTATCTGCTACAAACCCTGCCCATCACTATACCCAAATCATACTTCACCAAATTAAGACAACTTTTCACTACCTTCATTTGGGCACATAAACGTCCTAGAATTCCCTACGAAGTCCTAACCAAACACAAAGCAAGTGGAGGCCTAGGCTTACCACACATGGAAAGATACTACCAAGCCACCATTTTATCCAGGATATACGATTGGACCACTAGTCCACCGACGAGGCAATGGGGAAAACTCGAGAGCGCTGTATTTATGGTACCCCTCTACACAATCCCATGGCAAAGAACAAACATGGCCGTGCTACTTACCCAACATGCCTCCCACCCCACTATCCACCCTACACTCAAGATTTGGTCACACATAAGAGAACTCCCGAACATCTCCCCACACCCGTCCCCTTTATACCCAATTACACATCTTCCCGCCAGGCCTACATATGGCCACCTACCAAAATTTACAGGACTAAAGCTGATGCGCTTTATCTCACACTAGGGAGAGTGTTAGACAAAAACTCTATCCGCCCTCACACCGAACTGACAAAGCAAGACAAACCGACCACACTGACAACTTTCCATTATGTACAATTGACCCACTTCATAGAGTCCAACCCAATATTAAAAACGGGTTCCCGCACACTCACAGACTACGAAATACATTGTACAACACACAACGTCAAAACCAAACACCTATCAACGTTTTACAAACTTATTCAAGACAATCATAACAAACCTGCACCCAGGTTCACGGAGTTGTGGGAGAAGGACCTTAACATAACTCTCACAGATCTCCAGTGGAAAACTATATTTACACAAATCCACAAAACCTCCATTTGCAACAGGTTACAAGAAAGTGGATACAAGAGAATATCTCGCTGGCACTAGTCGCCGGCGAAATTACACAACCTCGTCCCACAGACACCAGGAACATGTTGGAAATGCCACCAACAGGGGGCGACTTTAGCGCACATATGGTGGCAATGCCCTAACATACAAATATATTGGAACCACATATTGTCAATGATCAGAATAGTGACAGGGCTGAAACTCCCCACAACACCCCAATCCCTACTGTTTTTACTTCCACACACACCTTTACCAAAGCCATTACGTATGCTAATAGTGCAATTGCTCATAGCGGCCAACGCCCTCATTCCCGCAAAATGGAAAAACCCCGAGACCCCCACAATCAGAGAATGAATCACAAAGGTAGATGGGATTAAAGACTTGGAAGGAATTCACGCTTCCATAACACACACATACCCACTCTTTCGTGAGGTGTGGAGTCCCTGGGTGAAATTCATGACCAAACCAGACCCCATGAATCGCACTCACACTTAAGGTCACGCCTGGGACTGTCAACCGCCTCACATACAACGATACTGTCTAGATTCAGCACCGGTCTGCCCGAGATCCCCCCCACCCCCCTTCCTCCCTTCAGTTCTAACCACCCCCTTCCTTTTTAGCCTTCACCCTAGGCATCAACCGCATTTGACGACTGTACTAGGATGAGATGCTCAAGAGATGCACGCCCACGGTCTAAGCGGGTCATCAGCTGCCACCTCCACGTATCACAACTCTTACTGAAAACATACAGAGTAGCCCAGTAGCCTACACTTAACGAGTTCATAGGACTGGAGGCCATGTCCACACTCCGATCCGGAAAGTCACCACACACACCGACAAATATGGGTGACAAAACTGTACAACACCTCAACCACGAGCCGACTAGACACGCCTCACACTATGCCATAAACACACGGCCTAAGTAAGAGACTACCCATCACTACAATTAGATGCTCATAACCCACAATGTGGGCGTGATATACTGGCTTTATGATGACTGGAAATACACTCTGAAAAGTGAAAAGTGATAGATACACAAAATATGACAAGACTCAACGGGGCTAGGCGACCATTCCCTCCCCCACCACGCTTTTTCTATGTAGTCACATTGTTCAACCACTTATGACTTCACAGAATAGACCTATGCCTAACCCGTGTAACCCTTCCTGTTTCATTTAAACACCTTGTAATTCTCGTGTCTAGCTATTATCTATTTCTGTAATATGCGTTTATGACAATAAAGACTTTGAAACCCCCCCCCAAAAAAATAAATAAATAAATAAAGTGAGAATTCAAAGTGAATTTAAAATGTAATGTCAAAATAACTCAATTGGAAAAAAATCTCTAGTCAGCTATGCTTTAATTTTGCCTACTCTGGTCTTAAATTTGAAATTCACTTTGAAGGACACTATAGTCACAAGACCAACTTTTGCTTTAAGAAGCAGTTTTGGTGTATAGATCATGCCCCTTCAATTCTGTTCAATTCTCTGCCATTTAGGAGGTAAATAAATATTTTTATGCAGCCCTAGTCACACCTCTGTGCATGTGACGTACACAGCCTTCATAAAAACTTCCTGTAAAGAGTCATCTAATGTGTACACTTCCTTTATTGCAAATTCTGTTTAATTTAGAATTTCCTATCTCCTGCTCTGTTAATAGCTTGCTAGACCTTGCAGGAGCTTTCTGTCTGTAATTAAAGTTCAATTTACAGAGTAGGATATATATTTTTTTAAATTCTTTATTTTTGCAGTGCATATGATATAACAACGCGCATGGGATACCCCAACGGCAATCCTCACACTTTTTTTATAAACATTTGTAACAGTAAGGGGTATGCTGATGCATGCACAATTTTATAAGTGATATGCAGTTTGGTATGATTGTTCACGCTTTGGTATTTCTTGACTATTAAGCAGTAATATAACATATGTAAATCAGGTAAGATAGGTAATTCTTGGACGGGACTGTTTAAGTCTAAATTAAATGTTAAGTTACATGCTAGCCCAGGCACTCCTGCTTTTGCTTATGTGGGTACTGTTCAGTTACATGTTAAATACATGCAGGAGTGTATTGTGGTAGTGGATTAACTCTGCAAGGATAACAAAGCTTTCCAGGCTATAAGATTGGTCAAATAGCTGAGATTTGTCCCACAAGTTAAACTCAAGTTAGACTGCATGTCTTTATAGTGTAACATGCCAGGAGAATACAGTGCAATTAATTACTAACTGATATAATGGTAGTCTAATGCTCTGAATGCCTATTCATTGTAACTGTGGTTAAGCTGGCATTTTGCCCGTGCTTACAGACATGCTAGAATAAGTATCACCCATCCGGGGGACCCAAAGTGCCCACAGCAACAGGAGGCTAATAGGAGAATATGGCTTATCAACAAAAATAGCATAAACTGAACTAAAGCATTGCTCCAGACTCAGGCATCATGTCAGGTTTCTCCAAAAGTCCGCTAGGACCTTGTTGAGCCCAGTGGCTCAGTGGCATAATCCGCTTGCTCCACCCACAGATGGGCAGTAGGAATGGTCGATCCCCTAGGGGCGAGACCAGGATCACCCACCCGGCCCAAAGGGGTGGGGGGACAGAGCCGGTAGTGTCCAGTACCGGGGCTCCAATCTGCGGCAACCAGACAGGATAGCGAGGCGGTGGCCGTCCACCCCACTCACTGCCCGAGTAGGCCTCAGCCACAAGGACCATGGAGCTCCCTCCCAGGGACCGAGAGGCAACTTGCAAGCACAGCCCCAGAACCGGCACTGCTTTACAGCAGCTTCCCGGGTTCCAGTAGGCCACAATTCTGCAGTAAAAAGTGTTAATTTCAATTAAAGCACAGGAGCCACTTGTCCCTGCGACCACCCAACGTGGCGGTCCGGCCCCGCCCCCCAGAGTAGGATATTTTAATGTAAGTTACATCTGATTAAAAATGAAGCCATTTTGTTTTAATGCATGCTTGTCAGTCACAGCCAGGGGAGGTGTGGCTTGGGCGGCATAAACAGTAACACAATTAATTTAACTCCTAAATAGCAGTTAACTGGGCAGTGAAACTTCAGAGGCATGACCTATATATTAAAACTGCTTCATTAAGCTAACGTTGTTTTGGTGACTGTAGTGTCCCTTTAAATAATCAAGAGAATAGTAAGGATCTGCCACATTTCCAAATCTTGAGTAAAAACCAATAATATTGTTTTGGCTTCAATTTAGCAATTATTTTTGTTAATTTAGAAAACATTATCTTTATTAAAAAACAAACCCAAAACAATAACTCTCATATCTACCATACACGACTGATTAGTTGTTTGTGTTTTTATTTTTATGCTGATCTCCAAATAAATTTGTTTAACTTACAGTCATGTAGCTTAAAATCAATTTACTTACCTCACTCACTTGTTTTGCATGAAGAATATTATTTTTGTGCACACAGAACAATAACCATATATCCAAGGACTTTAATAGGTGTTTAATAAAATACTTTAAATGAGCAGGATTCTTTAAATATGTATGAACATTTTGTTCTTGCCTCATAATGGAAAGGCAGAGAGAGTGTGATTTTTAAATGGAAATTATCATCCTGTTACAAAATATGCTAATTAAGTACAGCATTGAAAGAAGCATAACTATGTCATGTCCCTGGGATGCAACTGAAGGTTACTGTTAATGCAATGTATAGGGAAACAGTCATCATCTTCATTATAAAACATACAGACTTTTACTAGGCTAAAGACAACAACGAGGCTGTCAGGGACAAGGCTGCCATCAGAATTCTTGGGGTCTCTTATCGAATCAATGCCAAGGTTGCAATACCCACACTGCAAAACTATGAATTAATGCACACATGCACCGAGACACATTTGCACACACATACAAATACAGACAGGGACATCTTTCCCCATAAGCATGCTGGGCAGTTTCCTGGGGGCCCCACAGGGATGGGGGCCACACCATGCTGCCCAGCATACCCGGACCATCAGGGGAGATCTTTTGATCTCCCCTGTCGGCCCTGTTTTTCTGGTCGTGGGCCAGATCAGAGATCTCCCTTATCAGCCCAATGGCCCTTCAATCGGGGAGAGAGGGTGGCACTGCTTTGCCCGGAGCCCCATAATGTTGTTAAGATGGCACTGGATACACATAGATAGATAAATATATACACCCACAGTTATACATTGCCAGATATGCACTGCTACACAGACAGGCCTAAACTCAGATATACACACAAAAAGTAAACTATTGTGTAAGCAGTATTGGGAAAATATACCTCATTTATGTGCCAAAAATGTATCCTCAATTCTTTGGCTACCACAAGTCTGAGGCAGAGAACTGGTAGTTGCACAACCTTACATCGGTAACCTTGTGTATTTTATTGTATTTTTTTTTTTATTATTATTATTTTTATTTTTTTTAATAAAATACACAAGGTTACATTTATTACATAAAATACAGACATGCAACATATCCCCAGATAGCTTAGGTCTGAGCACACGTTATTACTGAATGGCACTCAGACCACACACATACAGTTCAATTGCCATGGAGCCAAAGTCTTTCCCATAGTCTTTCATTATACGAATGGACTCCATGGCATAGCTATCTGGGGTATCACCGCTCAAACAGGGCAAGCACCGAATGACCCGGCTTTCGTGTTTTTGCAGGGGAAAATCAAGCGTTTCAACATGGGGCCATAGTCTAAAGGCAGCAGGCGGCAACCAGGCTCCTCCAATGCACAGTGGCGAGATTGGTCTCGGCACACTCAGGAATCCACATGCAAATGTTTGTGGTATCGCACCTCCCCCCATTTTTTCTAACTCTTTGGTTACTGATCAGGACAACCATTGTTGCCTGGAACCATAATTCATATCTGTTGGAACTGCCCCTTTTCGGCCAAAATTCATGGAATTTGAAAACAGTCTTTTCACATAGCTCAATCACTTCTCTTGAGTAGGCTGCATGTGCTGACCATAATGCACCGCCTTGTAGAGCATCATGAGCACGCTCTTAAGGGGGAAATTGGAGCCACAAGTAAATTTTGGCTCCCATTGGTACACATCATTCTGAATTTTGCAGGCACTGACATGATGTGAACAAATGAAATGTATTTAAACCTCCCTAGTCCTATATACTGTGCCCTATTGTGGTTTCTGTCCCCGTACCCCTTAGTGTGTACCTTGTTCTCTTGTATATTATTCTGGCATTGACCCTGGCTTTATTTCTAACTTTGCATTTATCTTTAACCCTTTCCTAAACTGTTTGCCTGTCTGACTGTTTACCATGTACCTGACCCTCATTTTCACTGTTTCTCTGTTATCCGGACCTCAGCCTGATATTCACTATGCTTTTTCTCTTTTTAATGTTAAGTCTGGCCATTCTAGGGCCCGGTTATATGTTATTTCCTTGTTTTGTCCATTGCCCTCCTGTATTCTGCATGTTGGGGTATTACACAATGCCACACATTGAGCTTGTGGCTTACTAAAATGGAAAAGCTTCGCTATATTGAGCAACTGATCTTTACTGCACAGCCCCCTTAGCATGCTATTAGTAAGGGCGCTGCTCAAACAAACTTAAAGAAGAGTGGGGTCTAATTATAATTATCTCTATGAATGATGTTATATTTAATAATTTACCTTTTCTAATAGCTACCATTACTTAAAAATCAGAATGATTGAATGCATTAAAGGGACACTCTCACCCCTGTAACAACTATATATAAATTACGTTGTTGTGGGGATGTATTCCAACAGTTTAACTTCAATGTTTATCCTCTAGTGACCAGCTACTATTACTCTCAATGGGTGGCCAGCGATCACATCGTCTCACCAGCCACCAATCAAACCTCAATGGAGTGGACTGCAGCTGGACGAAGGAAGAGGAGACAGAACTGTCAGTTTCCAGAGGACCAATTTTAAGGTTAGACCACTAAAAATTAGTTTAATCACTCAAGGTAAGACAGTGCCCAGACACTACTGCTTACATGTTATGTGCTCAAACATGCTTATTCACAGAGGCCATGCTGTGTTATGCTATGGAATGCTTTTACCAAGTATAAATAAAGCAGGAATTTTATCCTAGAAGAGTCTACATTTCTGTGCGTTTGGATTTCATGAAGATAACAGAAAAAGTGATCAAGAGAAAAAGGAAAACCGGGTAGTTTAGTGATTTTACATTGACTGACAAACTAAAAATGCAACAGGCATAGAAACCATGTAATCCAAAAACTAATCGCACAGTTTTAATTAATCCTTTAGTGTCCGTTACTGGAGGTCAAACAAGACAGCTAAAACATTGATATTTACTGAAATGGATCCTTGTATCTAGTAAACAAATGAAAGAACAAAACAAAAAAAGCTATTTTTTTCAAATTAGTTTTATTAGTTTTTATCAATTTGTTTTGGTTTCTGTCAATTTGAAAATTTGCACACCTCCAAATTGCTGGACTAGATTTGGAACTAAACAAATTGCACATGTGTAGTTATTGCATTTATCACTGCCATTCAGCCATGATTAAGAAATTATTTAACCATACTGTATGATCCCCAGAAGTTAGGCAAGTTTTTGAGAAGTTACAATTCACCTTTGCAGCAGTTGTTATACCTATCTAATCTAACTATCGAAAAAAAGTATTTGATCCCCTGCTGATTTTGAACATTTGCCCATTGACAAAGAAATGATCAGTCTATTATTTTAATGGTAGGTGTATTTTAACAGTGAGAGACTGAACAACAACAAAAAAATCCAGAAAAACGCATGTCAAAAAAGTTCTACATTGATTTGCATGTCAATGAGTGAAATAAGTATTTGATCCCCTATCAATCAGCAAGATTCCTGGCTCCCAGGTGTCTTTTATACAGGTAACAAACTGAGATTAAGAACACTATCTTAAAGGGAGTGCTCTTAATCTCAGCTTGTTACCTGTATAAAAGATACCTGTACACAGAAGCAATCAATCAGAGTCCAAACTCTCCACCATGGCTAGGACCAAAGAGCTGTTCAAGGATGTCAGGAACAAGATTGTAGACCTACACAAGGCTGGAATGGGCTACAAGCCCATCGCCAAGCAGCTTGGTGAGAAGGTGACAACAGTTGATGCGATTTTACGCAAATGGAAGAAACACCAAATAACTGTCAGTCTTCCTCGGTCTGGTGCTACATGCAAGAACTCACCTTGTGGAGTTTCAATGATCATGAGAACGGTGAAGAATCAGCCCAGAACTACATGGGAGGATCTTGTTAATGATTTAAAGACAGCTGGGACCATAGACAACAAGAAAACAATTGGTAACACACAACACCGTGAAGGTCTGAAATCCTGCAGCACCCGCAAGGAAGCACATGTACAGGCCTGTCTGAAGTTTGCCATTGAACATCTGAATGATTCAGAGGATAACTGGGTGAAAGTGTTGTAGTCAGATGAGATCAAAATTTAGCTATTTGGCATCAACTCAACTCGCCGAGTTTGGGAGTATGACCCCCAAGAACGCCATCTCCACCGTCAAACACGGAGGTGGAAACATTATGCTTTGGGGGTGTTTTTCTGCTAAGGGGACAGGACAACTGCACTGCATCAAAGGGACGAGAACCTCCTTCCCTCAGCCGGGGCATTCAAAATGAGTCATAGATGGGTATTCCAGCATGAAAATGACCCAAAACACACAGCCAAGGCAACAAAGGAGTCTCAAGAAGAAGCACATTAAGGTCCTTGAGTGGCCTAG